ACTGTGACAACTTCCAAAAATGGGATTTGACAAAATGGGAAATTCTGAATGACTGCAACCTACTGGAAGCAATTCACAATTTGAAGCAGAAATATTTTAAACACTCAATCTCCCTGCTATTGTCATAAGCCCCATAAAGTCTCTGAGATATAAAATTCTATAGTCTCCCCAAAAAAGTGAATTTGAATTGATTCCCCTCCTTGGACATTTGCAGTTGCAAATATTGCCCAGGATTGATAGGAGAAGGTATCTATTGTCATAGTATTGTACATATACATAACTATTACTGTTCCATGATCTGATTTGACCACATTGCCAGAAATAAAGCATTTAATGGCTAATAAAACTTCAAGAAACTGTGAAAATTAAGAGACATATAGTCAATATGGTTCCCAGAAACCCTGCTTCCAAGGGGTTACAGTTAATATGGGTGTTTTGAAATGTCCATGCCAAGTGCTTCTACCTATCTCTTGAGTTTTGGGCACAGATGCTTCTCAAATGGCCCACAAAGCTCACTGAAGCATGACAGAGAGATTTCCAAATCAGGCCTAGAAAGGTCTGGGGGTCTCAGATCCTTGTATGAATAGGACCTCTGTTTATTTCCTTGGGATAGTGTTCCTAGGTATGAGAGGTGTCTTGTGAAATATTTTCAGCCCCAATTCACCAAGAAAAATGTCAAGGATTGGTCCAGGACGATTGCTCTATGCAAAATGTACTTTTCTTGGGGACTATTCAAGTTATACCCAGTGTAAATTTATTTGCTATCATATTATACTTCAGGTGTTGTTTAAAGGACATCCTGAGTCTCCATGGATTAACTCAAAAGGGTGGTAGCACTTTTTCTTCTTGCAGAAAAGAAGGACCGATGTTGTAGATACTTGTTTACTTTCAGAAAAACTCTGGAAATTAACTTCTACAGACATCATGCAATGGTCATTTTAACATTTCTACCTACCTTTTGTATTATACACACTACAAACATTAATAGGGAGTCATTTTTCCTCATTCCAGCAAATATATTGAGTGAAAAATACATAAAGTGGAGAACAAGTTCAAATTTACCTTTTAGGGGAGGATATAAATTTTCTAGCCCAAAGACTTTATGAAGCTCATAACAATAGCAGGGAGATTCAGTGTTCAAAATATCTCTTCCTCAAGTTGTGAATTGCTTTCAGTAGGTTGCAGTCATTTAGAATTTCCTATTTTGTCAAATCCCATTTTTGGAAGTTGTCACAGTGAATGCTCTGCCTTATCCTGAGTTTTCATTCATTCATCCCCAGACTTGGTATGTACAATCTAAACCTCCTTAGCTATGTCTCATACACCAGAGCTTAGTTTTGAAAATGTTTGGTTCTTGTGTTACAGCACCAACTTTGTTCAAAAAATGACCAGACATTCTTTTTTCCCAGTTAGTGTATGTATTTTGAGCTGTCTGCAGCCATACTTAGCCGATTTTTGCAACATGGACCTCATCTAAGAACCTAACCGTTTTGCAAGTGGTTTTGTGGAGCTTCCTCAGGGAGTGTGTCAGTATCCAAACAAACCCACAAGTGAGGCAGGATAAGTGCTGGGGGTGAGCATAAGGGCAGAAACATGAAAATAGACATGTGTTGGACATGTGTGTAGTACGTACCTACATGAGAAGTTAGCAACAAATATGTGAACGGATTTGTGGAGTGCTTTTGTGGAGAATTTTGGTATCCGAACGACCCCAAGATTATGAGTTCTCTGATGAGGCTCTGTTCGGGAACAGAATGCGAAATTCTCATGCCAGATTCTCGCCTAATTTAGTACTATCAGTGGTGGGAACTTTGCAAATTTGAATGAATTGGGTGCAGGAAAGGGACTCCGGGCCTATTTTATTAAAACTTGGGATGGTGATGCATCTTAAAGTAACTCTGAATCTAACTAGAATAATATCTGAACCGATAGAGGTGGGGGAGAAGAGCTACAAGGCAAAATACACAGAATGCTCAAATCTCCATACATGGACATCGACTTTGCAAGATCAGTCACATCAAAGTAACGCGGCGGTGAGGGCAAATGTTTCCCAGTTTGCCCCTTAGCGGGGTTTACCGCCGTCACACATAGGGTCTGTGACACAAACCCAGGTGTATACAAATGTCCAAGCCTGTATCACCTTCTGCAGTTCATTTTTTACTGTCGAGATAGCTAGGATACATAGATTACATGTATGAGTACCTAGGAATGTAGTTTTATAAAAATCGGTCCATTGTGGAAGCAACGCAGGGCAGAATATTGTCAATTAAACATAGTGTTCGAAAGTCTGGTTAGGTCTGGTTATTGGGTGCCCAGGGGCTCTAACCGAGACCAAGACTGGTTAGCCTTTGTCCTGAAACCTAAAATAACCTAACCGGACTGCAACTAACCAGTTACGGTCAGTTATTTGCAGTTACTAACTGGTTAGGACCGAAAAATAAAGAATCAGTTATAACAAGGCAAATATGCTTATATGTATCTTGATAGATATTATTTCTGCATATTCTAGCTTTAAAACGAGCCCAAGAACGCTAAATTCGGTGAAGAATTGACATATTTATGCAATTATCCTTGAAAGTCTACACATTTGAGTGATATTTTAGAGATTTGACCATAACTTAGTCAAATTTTAAGCGTTTTCGACGTTCTAAAGTGCGTTTTGAAGGTGTATAATAGGGCTGGTTATAACCGGTTATTTAATGGTTAGTTAACCGCAAAATAACCGGTTATTCCATTTTCGAAATCAACTAACCCTAACCGCGGTAAGGTTAGTGTTGCGGTTAGGTCCAGTTATTTTCTGGTTATTTTCTGGTTAACTAACCTAACTTTCAAACACTAATTAAACAGATTTGCAAAGTTAATACCCTTGCAAAGTTCCCACCAGTGATAGTAGTTGAAATTCTGATCAAATGAGCACGTGCATTTCAGCCTTGACTGGTGTGACATCCAAAATTGGTCAATGGTTTCAAGGCTTTTGTCATGTTGAACAACCACGATACTGTCACCTTACAGCAGAGAGTGCTTACTGCCACCACAGCCTTCCTTCATCTCATTGGAATTGCTGCTGTGTTGTATCGGGAACCTAATTACTGGAAGCAAGACTATCACACATCAGCACTTTCAGGCGAAGCTAGTGCTTGAAAGTCCAGGCCAGTCCAGTTTTTTGGCCCAAAATGAAAAGACTGAGACCAAGACCAGTCCACACATTTCTTAAAACCTCAAAAGACTGGACGAGGTTTTATCAGTGCCCCCCCTATTCCTGCAGGATTCCGGTGGAATGAAATTTAGCAGTAAGCCCTGCTAAATTTGTCATTCCTGTGTTTTCTCATTCCAGTGGAATCTGATCATTCCGGAATTTACACCAGAATGTTCCCCGGAATGGTCTTCCCCAGAATGGGCAGGAATAGCATTCCCCGGAATGTGCAGGAACTGTAATCTGGTTATTTTATTGTATTATAGTTCATTTATTTTCAATGGATAACAAACAATGCTTGTTTGGCAAACACTGCTCACCAAACACGGCCACCCTCTCCTTCCACCACCACCACCATACTCGTCACCGCCACCAACACCACACTGTCACCGTCACCCCTAGCCACCACCACCCACGTCACCCTTCTATCACCCATGACCACGACAGGTCACACCCTGCCCCCGAAAACTCCCCACCATCCATGAAACAGCCATAGCATGCACAAAAACGTCCCAGTGCCCACGAAACCCACACACTGCCCACGAAAACATCCTAGCACCCACCGAAAACCACCTGTGCCCACCAAAAACATTCAGTGCACACCGAAAAACATTCAGTGCCCACCAAAAAACACCTAGCACCCATCAAAAGACATGAAACAACGACCCCAGACACAAAACGACACCCAACAGGACACGAAATGACGCCCAGCGCCCATAAAACAACCACGGATGATGATGACAGGACAATGGATGGCAACGATGGGACAATGTGTCCACGCCAATGACAACAACGCCCACGGCGATGTATCCACGCCACACGAGGGGACAACATGTCAACGCCAACGTGACAACATCCACGCCAATGCCAACGCAACGATGTCCATGCCAACGCCAACGCAATGACGTCCATGCCCATGCCAACGCCAATGTGATGATGTCCACACCAATGCCACCATGTCAACGACCACACAAGAATGAAAATGGGGTGACAACGAGCCCATGAGAGTGAGCTTCCTATGTGAGTGTACACCATATCTTTCCCCCTCTCATACCACCCCCTCCTCCTCCCTCACTCCCTCTTTCTATCACTCCACCCAATTCCCCTCCCTCCCCTCTCCATCACCCCCTTCCCTTCCCTACCCCTCCACCACTCCCCTCTCCATCACTCCTCCCTGTCCACCACTCTCTCCCTCCCTCCATAACTCTCCCCTCCTTCCTACCCCTTTCCTTGTCTATTCCTTGTCCCTACCCCTTACTGCCTTGTCTTTCACCCACCCCCTTTCCCTGTCCCTACCCCACTGTCCCCCTTTCTTTAAATATTGTATGTTAGTTTGTAATAAAATACATCCCATGTCTTTGAATACATCCAATACATTACAATTCAAGCTATCAACTTCAATTTTATCAGGAAAAGTGGTCAGAATGATGTTGGAGTTGAATAAATACATCTTAAGTCACATGACTTGTAAATTCCTGTGGATTCCTGTGGAATTCCAGTGGAATGACAGGATTCCTGCAGGAATAGGTGGGGCACTGAGAAGACCGTGTCATGCAGGAGTGAGAATAGTGTAATCGGACGCGCTGACAAGATGCGTGAACACCTAAACAACACACACACACACAAACACCTTAAACACTTATCACCACAGGTACGTGCTCGGTACTTCAAGTTCGGGTTCGTACGGTAAACAGAATTACCACACTTGTTTTAAGTAGAAGTTCGGGGAAACATTTTTTTTGTATATTTTATATCACTTGTCTAAGTCTAGTAGACCTTTTTGGAACAAAAGGTATTGTTTTACGTGCGGACACAGTATAGAATTCGAAACTTAGTAGTCTTCGAAGGGAAACAGCTTTTATTGGGACTGTCTCGGTGTTCTGGGATTGCGTTCTAACTGTATACGAAGAAATGACAAGGAAATTGTGCTTTGTAGACTTTTATAACTCCCTTGAGCTTTTATTATGCCTCTGATGCGGTCCAAACTAGTCTTAAAGACTCTTCAAGCATGCTCACTTGGATTCCTCGGTAATAGTAGAGAGCTCTCTTACTAATTGACGAGACAACCTTACAAAAGCTTTGTGATCCCCACTTAACACGCTGGTTCCGGGCACACATTACTTATGTCTGCGAAGAAAAGTCCTTAAATTGATTACAAACTTATCCACTACCTCAGATGCTACTGGGAGTGCGACAGCTGGTCAACGCGGGGGATAATTCCTTGTGTTTCAGCCTGCGCGCGTCCTCTTTTTATACTATTCTATGTCTTCTATTTATATTTACATGTCCGTGCGTTGTCCGAGAGGTCGGACGAATTAATACTGATTTTTAGTAAAGGTTTGAAGTGGCTCGGTTGTGTGTGGCACAACTGAGCTGACTTCTTTTAAGTTTTCGTAGTGTTTTCTCTATTGTGGCGACGCGATGCATCAGTATTGATGCGTACGCGGGAATCGCCGTAAACGGTTTTCACGATTGGTTCAGCCGAGACGAACGGTCTGCTTAGTGATTTTTCTCTCTATTATTAGATACTATGCCCGGGCCTCGGACCGCACGGCAAATCATTCATAGTTTTTCTCTTTTGGCAGGCTTTGGAATATTTCACGAAGCTTAGTTTTCTTGGGTCAATGATGTCATGATTTGTGATGCGTTGATGCGTGTGATGCGCGTGATGTGTCTCTCCACATGACTTCTTGGATCATGCTTCGTAGCATGTGACCGAATTACTTCTTGCGTCAGGTACACGTCGAGTTTCTACGCTCGTGCGTTTATCTTTAGAATTAATATCTTTTAATCCATAATAAGGTGAGACCCTGGTTTGGTGTAAACTCCAACACCCTGTGCAGGGGTGTTTTTTTTTTACTCTAGAACACTCGGTAGCCTACTATTTCATGGTAGTGTAGCCTCTTATTAGACTTTGAGTATATTGAGGTGATTCAGTCACGAACCGACCGCAATTCCTACTGCCTAAGGCGTGCACATTTCTCGGATGTAGACTTTAATCGACTAGACCGGGTTGCGTCTAACGATCCTTATGATCAATGTGACTGTATTTCTACTATAGGAGGTTTTATAGGAGAAATCGCTAAAATTCGCATTTTTACGGGTGTATTGTTACACTCCGTATCAGCACTGTAAAGTACTGGACTGGACCAGGACCGAAAAAGACCAACACTGTTGTCTTTTTCAGTCTTTGGACCAGTCTTGGTCCAAACTGGTTACAACCAGTTCAAGACTGGTTTTTCAACTAAATATGGAATAAAATTTGCAATTGTGAGTTGGTAAAAATTCTAAGGTACATCTACTATTTTCACAAAATATTTTACAGTCTTGTATGTATCTTTGTCAGTTTTTGGCCTAAAAATATGATCTTAGGTGCATTTTGAAGGGTTATTATGTAGGTACAAAAAGCCAATCTTAACCGACAAGACCAGTCCATGTTAACCAGTCTTTTTGCGGTCTTGTGATCTCAAATTTGAAAGACCAAGACTGCAGGTCCAGTCTTTTGCACTTCAGTCACCCACTCTCAGGCTCAGTAAGACTTCTTCTCCATTTACTACAAACTTTAACTTGTGACTAGTTTTAGTATTACAGTATGGGTACTCCAGAATGATAATCTTTGGAACCTCTGCATAGGATACATGCTCAATCATTTCACCTGAGCAACCCCCACATATTTCTGTAGATGGCTTTTAAATTGATCCTATCCATTTTGAAGTTGATGCTGGTATAGGGTCAAATGCATGTAGAACATATCCTAGTGTATCATCTACTTCATATGCATTTCCACAGTCTGAACATATTATTTCAGCCACTGCATTATTTTTTTCATACTTAAGCATTTCAAATGTAAGTTGTCCAACACTAGCTCCTGTTTTGCCTGTAGGAAATTTGATAGGATCTAAATTATGAAGATCATGTCTAAGTTCATCTCTTACATTTTCTAAAGTAAGTGTTCCTTCAAGCACCTTGTTGAAACCAGCTGCCAATGCACCTAAATAATCTTGGTTGATCTCTGTAAAATTTGTAGTCCACCTTAAAGGATCTATGTTCCAAATATGATGTAGTATCACAAATAAGCTATCATGTGCACAACTGTAATTTATACTGTCCCATTGAAGTCCTAACTTGATGCTAGACTTAGGCTTCAGTATCTTTTTACTCTTTTTCTTTATATTAATTTTATCATCATCATCCAGCTTATGCTTGACTGCAACTGATCCCTTAGATGGGACAAATGTTGAAGGTTTCTTGGGTTGCTCTGCTTTCTTATCTTTTCCTCTCTTAATTATCTGCCATGGACTGTCTGTAACCACAGGTAGTATATCCATTGGATCACTTTCACTCCACCTCAAAGATGCATCTGTTTTCTCTGGAACATATGCTGTACCTTTCCAGTTCTGAAAATTTCTGATCAATGAATTGTGTGTGTATCCTACAACACAAGGAGGAAGTGACCCTTCATATCTAAGCCTGGTAATTTCATCTAGAAGTTCTTGTTCTCTAAGTTCCTGCATAAGATATTTTGCACATCCTCTAGTAACAATGCTGGGCTCAAAGCCTTGTAGAATGATAGTTCCAGCTGCACTTGCACTTCTGGAGAGGCAAGTGTAGTAAGACATATGAGTATGGCAGCTGTTAAGATGGACAACATTGTATGGTCTAGTTTTTCCTTGAGCTGCATAATCTGTCATTGCAAAATTAGGTAGAACCCAAACTTGTTGTCTTTCTATAGACTCCTTCAGGTCACTAGGGAATGTACATGTAATAGTTTTAGATCCCTTCACTAAAGGTACCACATTTTCTGGAAGCCCAGGTATTTGAATAGTTTTTGAAGGCTTATCTAATTTTACAAATAGAGTGTCCAGTATTCTCTTTCCATGTGGACCTTTCTTTGCCTGCCATCCAACTACAAATCCTTCTTGACCTTTTGTTATGCACAGCTCAGTCGCATCATTATTTCTGATCATCACAAGCATTCCAAGGCAGAGTGAAAGCTTTCCAGCAAAGTGTTCAGTTGATCCATGTCTGACATTCCAGATTTGATGTTGATCATCAAAGTCAATTTGATTTGACTTGTGCTTTGATTTTGAAGCAGCCTTTGATTTTCCCCACTTTGTTTTATTAGCTGGGTCAGCATCCTTTCCCCACTTATCTACAGAGTAAAAATGGGTCAATTTTTGGCCTGTCTCCTTAGCAAATCTTTCACACCCCATTTGATTAATTTGATCTTTTTGTGTGTGTCTTCCACATATAATTGCCACATTTCTGAATTCCTTTGAAGCAATCTTAGGTCTTCCTGGCTTTTTACTAGCTTGAAGAGTTCTCAAAAATTTAATGTCCTCAGCAGTACAATTTCCATATCTCATATTGACCAATGCTTTTCTCAGTGATGCATCTTGGGGAGTCTGAGTTTTCTGCCTCATATTCTCTCTAAGTATAACTACAGTTGTAACCTGATGCCAGAGAGCTTTTCCTACAGCAGCTTCTTGGCCACCTGGCTTCAAGCCTGAATGGATTTGTGTCCCAACTGAGTGACTGTATAGAGATTGACCACCAACAGGGGGCAGTTGGGCAAAATCACCAGCAAATATCATATTAATTCCACCATATGGCTTATCAAAATTATTGAGTGCTTTGGCTAACTGTGAAGCAATTTTATACATGTCATGGCATGAGAGCATTGATACCTCATCTAAGAATATATAGTCAACTCCATCTAGTCTAGCTCTGACTTGAGCAATGCTTGTAGCCTCATTTCTGATACCCATTCCACTTATTGGCACACCCAAAAATGAATGATAAGTTGATCCATTCAGAAGAGCAGCTGATGATCCTGTTGGTCCAAGCACAATAAATCTATGAGACTCATTTCTCTGTTGAAAAAAATAAATGAGGGCTTTGAAGACTTGTGATTTTCCAGCACCACCCATGCCACTCAGATACATTTTTAACTGTTCAGTCTG